CTTTGTTCTAGCGCGTCCAATTTGCTTATGCCTTGTGATTGTGCCACCTCATCCTCTGCTTTCGTCAGAGCGCGTTGTAGTGTACGGATACTGTCTTCGCGGATGGCGATTTCCTTCTCTCCCTCCTCGCGAGTCAAATCCTCACGCTCCTTATTAGCTTTCAGTTGAATCTGCGTAATCATACGCTCTTTCTCCTCTACCGTCGCGGTCGAGCGATTGACGGCATCTATCTCCATCTGTTCATTCTCGTCAATCTGCGATCTACGGGCGCTGTAGTAATTCTCCCACACCAATAGTTGTCCCTCTACGCCCTCAGCTCCAGTCAACGCACGTGTGGCGCTCTCTGCCATCTCGATGTCAATCTCTGTCAGTCTCTTTGCCTGTTCGTTCTTGCGAGCGATCTCGTCATCGTCTATGCGTTTGAGGTCTGCTTGCAGTTGCATACGGATAGCATCCACCTCTGCTTTATATGCTTTCTCACCCATGACCTGCTTATCCAGCGAATCAATACGCAGTTGTGCCTCTGCTTCTGTCACTTGCTTTGTGAGCGCAATTTGTTGCGCGTAGTCGGCCTCAGTGCCGCCAGACTGTGACATAGACGTGAGCAGGTTTTTCTGCTCCTGAATCGATGTCTGTTGCGCTTGTAGAGCATACTTCTTGCGAACATCTGCAATTTCCTTGGCTTGTTTAGCCAGCAGAGCCTTGCGTAGTTCGGTCTCCTCTTTTGAGTTGCCCTGCACAGCTTTTAACTGCTCCTTGTAGTTGGCGTTGATCTGAGCAATCTCCTTAGTAGCACCCTCCTTCATCATGTCTATTCGCAGTTGATTGGTCTGCTCGCGCATCTGTTCCTGCTGGCGCAGCAGCTCCAGTTCGTCATCAGCCTGCTTCTTGCGTGCGTCCGAACGCTCCTGCTCTAGGTCTTTACCTTTCTTTACGGCATCGTAGTAGTTCTGCTCTGCCTCGGCAAGTTCCTCTTGCAGTTTTTTGTACTTCTTGCTGCCTTCGCGAGCCTCGCGCAGTTGGATGGCTTTCGCATCGCGCATCTTCTGCAATTGCTCAACCTGGTCGTTGTTGAGTTTTATTTCTTGATTCGTGTATTTTGTTGTATCGCTAGCAGCCTGCTTGGCAAAGTTGGCGCGTATCTGTGCCATTTCAACCTCGGACGCGTTACGTTTCTTGGCTTCCAGTAGAGCATTCTCCTCTGCCTCCGATATCTTCTTCACCTGTTGCTCTCGGTCATAGGCGCGCTTGGATGCCGTAATAGCTTGTTTGGCTTGTATCTTTTCTAGTTCCTTTGATGCGTCTGCATAGGCTTTTTCTGCCTTTCCGGCTGCAGTGAATGAATGAACGAGTTTATACACACCAATACCCAATGCCGCAAACGCAGCAATGGCGGTCAGTACAATGGCCACAATCACTCCGATTGGGTTTGCAGCCATTGCTGCATTCAAACTCCATTGCGCCGTTTCGGCAGCACCTACAGCAGCAGTCTCTGCAGTAGTCGCCGCTGTGTTAGCCACCGTGGACGCTGTCTCTGCAGTCTCGGCTTCTACAACCTTCATCTTGTTTTTGGCTCGTACCTTCTCCAGAGCGTTATTGAGCACTACCATAGCAGCGCTATCCTTATTGAGGACATTAGCCACAGACTGCACACCATTTAGGATAGAGAGCACTGCTTGTACTTTATAGAAAGCCGTTTGCAACCCCTCAAGCTCGCCACCGAATAACTCCACCGTAGATGTTGCCGTATTGAATGCGCCAGCTATTCCAGAGCCAACCGACATCGCCGCGTCAAGATTCATTGTGTCGCTTGCAAGCACGTTGATTCTCTGCTGCAGGTCTCCCATCTGGTCTTGTAGGGCAGCAGCCTTGACTGCTACTTTCTCATACATGTCGCCCATATTGCCGGACTCCTCCATTTCCATCATGAGATTTCGCATCTCACGAATCTGCGCCATTGCGCTCTTGGTACTACCCTCTAGCAGGTTGGATGCCTTTGAGTTCTGCTCAATGGTCGTGATGCTTTTTTTCGTAGCCTCCTGCTCCTCTTTGAGTGCCTTTGCCTTTTCCCGGTACTCCTTATCGAGTTTACGGACGGCCTCCGTGTTATTGTTGGTTGCGTCCGTGTATCCCTTAAGCGTGATCTTGTTGTGCACGTACTCCTTGGCAAGATCACTCATCTGGTCTTCGAGCTCTTGCGACTTCTTCTTTTGGTCGTCCAGCGCCTTGCGAACCTCCGATGTGTGATCCTCACCGAGTAGCTTGATTATGATTTTGTTATCTGCCATGCCTTGATTTTAATTCGCGCATCTGTTTCTTTGCCTCCTCGTTCTGCTTTTCGATGCGCTCGATTTCTCTATTTAGTTTTGCCATGAACTCCAGAAACGTCATGTCGTCCGGAACGTGTCTGCTCTCCCCGGCGACGATCTCTTTCCATCGTTCGTACTGCTCTATTCGTTTGTTGATGTAGCTGTATGGAGAATCTCCTGCTGCAACGCGTTGAACTGGTCGTTGAGACGAGTATAGGCGTCCAAATCGACTCCGACAGTCCTTAAGAAGGGCATTAATTCCAGTAATGGCGTCTGCATAAAAAAATCGTGCACCCCTTTATCCTTTCTCCACTTGGCGATTTTCTTTTCAGCGTACTCCGGCTCATATACAAGCGGATTCTCTGTTTTATCAAAGAAGCAGATGCTGGCCAACTTATACATCAAGTCCACATCAGTTGTCATGCGCAGGCGCTGCGCCAGCACCTCGTTGAGGGCGTTGATGCGGAAGATATCGATCTCCTTGCTCTTGAGCAGCTGCTGCATCGCCTTTACGTGCTCCGTTAGGTACTCCCGGCTGCAACGCATGGTTATCTCGTCATACACACACATCGCCGAAAGGCCGCGCTCGTATGGTAGGTTGGCGATATCTGCGTAGCGGTAGTATTTAGTACCACCGGATGTAAACGCATATTCGATGCGGTACTTCTGTTCCTGCTTGCGGCGCTTATCCAATTCTCTGCGCCACAGTTCTGCGAGTTCTTTGATTAGTCCCATATCTCTTTGATTTTTTCAGTTAGATTATCCTTATTGCCCCACGCTATTCTGTAACCGGAGAGCATCAAACTCCACACTCCCTTTATCGGCCAGATGCGCAGCGTGTAAAACTTGCCATCGTGTGTGGCGGTGTAGTAATCGTTTGTGCCACCACTGCAGGCACACCCGTGTCTGCTAAACACAAACCCTAATTGTTGTGCAGCATTAGTCATGGCTATGTAGGTATGTAGCGATTATACTATTAAGACCGATGACTGCGACCATCGTCGGCAGCACTTGCCAACTGAAGCCGAAGAGCACCGGGTAAACGATTATCGTCCACACTCCACCCATGCACACAAGGCACTCGAATAAAGGCTTGCGCAGCACGGAGAGGTGCAGACGGTCGAGAAACTCGCCCAGCGCGTTCGCCGGACGGAAGAAGATCATCCCTTCCCACGTGCAAACGTGGATGGCGGTGATGATGAGCGATAGTATGACGATGCGGTCTATCATTATTGAATTTGAGTTAGTTCTTTAAAGTACCGATGGAAGTAGTATCGGTTGTTATCTAGGAAGTCGGCCTGCTGCGCCACATTCTCACGGTTGACCTTGAGAGGTTTATTCTCATCGTCGGCCATCACGTTCTCAAAGTCCCAGATGGCTTCCTTGCAGCGCTCCACGTCATATACGATATCGTACTGCTCAAAGAGCGAGTTCATGAAGTAGCGACTGTCGGCCAGCCTTGGGTTTGTGCCGGAGTACTGCATTTGGCTCTTGGATAACCCGAAGTATGCCTTTATGACATCGTAGTTGTTTAGCAGCGACATCGTGGTGGCATTGCGTCCGGCGCAATCTCCGGTCACCATCCAATACGCTCCCGGATAGTCTCGCTCTATTGCCTCGCACACCATGCGCGTTGTGGCGTTCTCGAGCTTGTAGCACTGGATACCACGCACGCTTCCGTTGATGTGCTGCAGCAGGGTGCACGTCATTGGGTTTCTGTTGAAGTCCCATGTCTGCACCAGAGGATAATCCGGATCGTACTGCGTGTGCCCCACGTGCCGCCTTCTGTCGAAAGCAAACAGCCACAACTTCTCGTTGATGGCCATCGGGTTCTGCTGGTACTGCGTCTCAAAGATGAAGCGGTTAGCCGCCTTGATCTTGTGCAGTTCCTCAACGGTGTGGCGGAAAGACCAGAGGGCTACTTCGCGCCCGTCGCTATCAACTGACAAAGCTGGCAAAGATAGCACCTCCCAGTCCTTCGGCTCTAGGTTCATCAAGTATCCGCAGAGGTCTTCCTTGTGCAGGCGCTGCATGATAATAATGATGGGTGTGTTTCGGTCGTTGGTACGACTGCGGATGGTGTTCTCAAACCACGTGTTCACCTTTTGGCGCACCGTCGGCGAATCTGCGTCGAGTGGCTTTAATGGGTCGTCGATTATGATTGCACCTCCCCACACCGGGTCGTCAACAATGTCAAAGTCGGTATCCACCTCCTCCCGGACGATACCAGCACCGAATCCGGTGATCTGTCCTCCGGAAGATGCGGCGTACACTCCGCCACCCTCTGTGGTGTACCATTTCTTTTTCGAGTGGGACTTCCAATCCACTCGCACCCAAGGAAACACCTCCTTGTACCAATCGGACGATATCGCGTTGAGGATATTTTCGCTATTATCCTCCGCGAGCTTTGCCGAGTAGGACGTTAGGATGTACTTCGACTTGGGGTTTATCCCGAGCCCCTTCTTGACAAATGCCTTCAGGAACTCCGTCTTTGTATAACGAGGTGGCAGGTTTATCATCAGTCGCCTCGTCTCGCCACGGAACACTCTGTCGAGCGCCTCGGCAATCTTCTCGTGATGCCCACCTACCACAAACTTGCGTCCATTCTCCTGCTTGAAAAAGTAACGTGTCGCAAACATCGTATCGACCACGCACTTTGCTGCTATGACCTCCGATGATGTTGCCATATTACTAAATATCAATCTCAGTTTGTTTTAGCAGTTCCTGCGCCTCCTTCATCGACAAACCCTTGCGAGTGACCGCGATTGGTTCGCCGTCCTTGCCAGTTAGCTCGGTCTGGTTGCGCTGTTTCCAACGCTCCGGGTCAACGTTCGTGAGAGCAAAGATAATCGCCGCAGTGTTGGGGTGCACGTGCTTCTTGGTCATTACCTGGTTCTTGATGACTGGCTTGCCATTTTTATCTGTAACGTACTCGGTGCGCGTCTCCGTGTAGTCGTAGCCTTCACAGAGCTTAAAAAGGCTCTCCTCGGCCGTCTTTGCGATGTTCCGCTTGAACTCGTCCTTTGCTGTTTTAATAGCGTCCGAAAAGTCCGAACTGTTGCTCATCCACCGATAGAACGTGTCCTTGCGTATGTCCATCGCCTTACAGAAGCGCTCGATTGTAGCGCCACCGTACTCGGAGAGTCCGTTTTGACTGACCCACTCTCTGCACTCCTGTATTTTAGACGATGTTAGTTTCATACCGTGATATCAACTTCGGCCATCAACCTCTGCATCGGGATGAGCGCCTTTTGAAAAGCATCAATCTGCCCCATGATGTATGGGATTGATTTTCCGTTCAGTTTCATTTTCGACGTGTCTCCATCGTTAAGAGCCTTCTTCAATCCATAGTAGATTGTTGTGAGGTTGTTGCCTGCTGTTTGAATGTCGCGTGCTACGCTTTTAGATGTTGTTTGCATGATTAAAAATATCGTTTAATACGTTGTATCTGCTTATCGACGGACTGGACTGTCTTCAAGAGCTCGTCCGCCGCCATCAGCAGTTCTTGACTTCCGGTCGTGCCCTTGCGAGCCATCGCGGTGTTCTTCATATCGATTGCCAAGTTCAGCGATCCACGCAAACGCGTCTCAAACCCGGCTATCTGTACTTGTAGTGATTGCTGTGCCATGATACACCTCCTTATCTAACAAGACCCCACTTTGCGAACTCCTCAAAGCCGCCGAGGTAGTTTATATAATCACGAGCCTCTTCCACAATCTTTGCGTATGGAATTGTCTCATCGAACTTCTGTCCGTCTTTATCAGTACAGCGCAAAGTGACATTCTTATCGCCGATGGCGCACAATGCCTCGACCGTGCCTTGAATCTTCTGTGCACGTTTGAAGCATACGATGTTGACACTCACGTCTGCCTTGGAGAGGTCTTTTCCGTGCAGGCCACCTCCGGTAACAGACTGCGCCATGTCACTTCCCAGCTTGCGGTTTGTGCATCCGGAGTCAACATTTGTGCCGCCTTCCCAATAACCGAGAGGGTTAACACGTGCGCCCGGGAATAGAGCCTCGATGTCGTCGGACGTCGCGTGACTCTGGCAGATGATAAGCTTTTCGTGACGGTCGAGGATATACTTACCATCGTATGGGTACTTCCAGTAGATGGTCTTTGCGATATCCGTGAGCGCCTTTTCCTCAATCGTCGTGCAAACACCCTGGAAGATGCCATTGTCACCACAACGCACCTCTTCTTCCTGGTTGCTAGCGAGGATGGGGTCTTGATTTACCGCAATGAGTCGCAGTTCCTGCTTTCCGGCGATGCGCTCGACAATAGCCGACACCTCACTCTCAGCAAACAACACGCTGGACTCGATTATTACGTTGCAGCAGCCATGGCCGAGTAACACTTCAACTGCGCACTTTGGATTGTGCTTTTTCATGTATGCGAGGTCAACAATCGCGCCTGCAATACGGTCTGCCACCTTATCCGGGTGGCTCGGGTTTACTTTTTCGAACATATGGTAAAGTTGTTTAAAAATTCCCGTACTTAAGGATTATCCTGTTGAGGTCTTTCAACGTGTTAATCGATGAGTTAATCACGTTGTCGAGATCGATAGCTTTGTCAAATCTGCTATCTTTTTTTGCCAACGCATGAAGTTCTAGTCTAAGAGCTACGAGGTCTTCACTAAGACTACGAGCATCCTTTGCGATTTGTGTAGATGATTTCTGTGCCATAATATTACTCAATTTTAATTGCTTTTTCTCCCGTGAACTCCTCCCAGCGCGTCACGATTACGCTTGCGTAGTGCGGATCAAGCTCCATCGTCCGGCATTGGCGTCCGGACTGCTCACACGCCATGATTGATGTGCCACTGCCTCCAAACGTGTCCAGCACGATATCGCCCTCCTTGGTGGAGTTCTGCACTTGGTAGGCAAATAGCGGTACTGGCTTCATCGTCGGGTGTAGGTCGCTCTTTGTCGGGCGATCAAACTCCATCGTCGTCGTTTGGCATCGGTCGTTATACCATTGGTGGCCAGCACCATCTTTCCAACCGTATAGGCAGTTGTGCGTAACGATACCATCCGCAATGTAATGTTCATACTTCTCAACCGCAAGACTGTATACCTTGCCTGACCAAGTTTCGTGCGATACATTATCTATTGCTGCCCAGTGAAAATTTGGATACACACCCATTTCCGCATTAGGGATTGGCAATTGCATCAATCCCGGAACGAGGTTGCAAGCATGTATTTTTGCAGTTACGCGAGTGCTAAACTTATCAGCTTTACTCTGCTGATCGACAAATGGGAAACGCTCCGAGCGGCCGAAATCATGAAGAAGCTTGTGCGCCCTTTCGCACATCTCCCTTAAATCAAACGCCGCGTAAATATCACTAATTTGCTCTTGAGTCCGGCATCGCGTTGAACTGAAACGATCATATTCCCAGATGGTATAAGGAATGCCATACTTAACAGAAAGTATCTGCTCGAACACCTGCGCATCTATCTTATCCTCGTGCATAGCGATAAGCCAAACCTCGTCGGCTTTCTCCTGATGTAAGCGAGTCTTCAGTCCGAACTGGCGCGCGTCATATGCTTTCGTTTGTCCTACACGCCACCAATTCCCCCTGCGCATCAAGTACGTGCAGTACTTCTTCTTGCAATCTCCATTGAAGCGAACGGAAAACTGGTGATTGTCGGTTGCTCGTGTTGTTTTGCCTTCCACGCTCACGCTATAAAGCTCTCCTGTGTAGTCGCGCGATGCGGTTTCAATTCCATAGCCACCATTCTTGCCTCCTTTAATCTGTCCGCTCAAACTGTCATATGAAATAACTCTATCGACACCAGCCTTTAAATCCTCGATGGGCTTTAGTCCGGTTGTTGTCATTACCATCGTCCCTGCAGGCTGGCAGGATTCATGTTTCCATTGGTAGTCTTGGCGACCGAGCACAAAGCTGTTCTTAACCCATATCAGCTCCTCGCGCACTACCAATCCGGCCGCATTGAGCGCTTTTTCGAAGAGTACTCTGCGTTGATACCACTGCTCAGATATAAAAAGCAGCGCCCGGCTTGAGCACCTCTACTGCTGCGCTAAATGCTGCGTGTAGGAACTTGAAGAAGTCCTCGGACGACATGTTGTCGTTCTGGATCTTCATCTGGTCTTCCGTTCTGCCTTTGTAGTCCACGTTGTACGGAGGGTCGGTTAACCAGCAGTCAGCCTTTTCTCCGGCCATCAGTCGCGCGATGTCCTCTTTCTTTGTGGAATCCCCACACATAAGACGATGTGCGCCCAGCTGCCAGATTTCGCCCGGCTTAACGCGCTCCTCGACTGCTTTGTCCGGATCAAAGTCGTCGTCCTTGGTGTCCTTCTGCGCAGCGCCGCCCAATCCGGACTCCGGAAGCTCGATGCCCCAATCCTCTCGGTGGATGCCCCACTCGGATTCTGCTTTGATAAGGTTCTCGGCGTTCCACTCGAGGTCGGCCGCAGATGTCGCGTTGTCAGCAGCGGCCATTTCGCGCCCCTGCTTTGAGTCAAGATCAACGTCCGTGCGCTTTACCACAACGAGTTGCTCTCCGGTAGTCTCCACTATCACAACGTCCTCAAGGCCAATCTGCGAAGCGGTCTCGACGATTCCGTTTCCGGCAATGAGTCGGTTGTTTTTGTCAACCAGCACGCTTCGGCCAGCGCCATGCTGGCGCAGCGACTTCTCCATTAAGCTCATACCGAACTGGGTGTGCTTATTGAAGTTCAGGTCGTCAAAATGCAGGTCTTGCACCTTGGCTTGGCTTGTTTTGATTTCTTTTGACATAACGGCTATTTTTTCATTCCCCATGCTTCGTGTGACATGCTAAGACCAATTTTGCGGAGCGCACGAAAGGTTTCGTAGCAAGCATCTCTCCATGCTCTATGAGCATCCATACTGTTATCGAAGTTCTTAATAGACAATGTGGTGTTCTTCCCATTATAGACAAGGTAGATGTTATACTGTCCTCCCTTATCGCCGACCTTCTTAAGTTCTAGAATAACATATCCGTTGCTATTATCGATCTTAACCTTATTCTTGCCACCCATCACTGGTGCTAACACGTTTCTATTATCGAAGTCCTGCGCCAGTTGATAAACGCCCTGTCGCTCCTTCGCCTGGTTCTGTAGTTCATTGTTCATCATATCATTTTATTTTAATTTGCTGCAAAGATAAACATAATATTTGGTATTTGCAAATAATAATTGTTATTTTTTACAAAAAATAGTGATTATTTGCTATAAACAACTACTATTTATGCATTTTTCAAAAGAAAAAGCCACCCGAAGGTAGCTTTTTTCTTGTTTTACGCATCAGTTAATGTGCTTTGCCAGTACCGCCAGCGCACTCTTTAGTGTCGACTTTTCGGTGTTGCTGTAAGCGGTCAGTTCGCCGCACTCCTGTTCAAACATAAACGAGCTCAATGCGCTCCACATTTTTGCGGTCGCCTTATTTCGTCCGCCGTGATAAATTATTCCTGCCATAATTAATAATTTGATTAAAATTCCACCACTCGATATGTTACTCTTCCATCCTCGATATAGCTACACTTTTTCCTTTCAAGAGTACTCTGCGTTGATACCACTGCTT